AAAGATATATATATATATGTGTGTATATATATATATATATATATATATATATATACGGGGGGGGGGGGGGTGTCTGTCTGTCTCTCTCTATGTGTGGGAGTCTCTCTCTCTCTCTCTCTCAAAAAAAAGAAAGACACACTCTCAGTGTGTGTGTGTGTGTGTATATACATATATATATATATATATATATTTTTTTTTTTGTGTGTATGTATGGGGGGGTGAGTATATATATGTATATATATATATATATATATATATATATATATATATATATATATACTCTCACTCTGTGCGTGTCTATATATATATATATATATATATATATATATATATATATATATATATATATATATATATATATATATATATATATACACATAGTTCATTCATTCATACATATATATTCATTCATTCATTCATTCATTCATTTTTCAGCTTAGTCCTTTTATTAATCTATTAATGCTGTTTTAAAAAAACTAGCTTAGAGTGCCATCTGGTGTTAAAAAGTAGCTTAGAGCACCAACTGCTGTTAAAAACTAGCCTAGAGCACCAACTGCTGTTAAAAACTAGTTTTGAGCACCATCTGCTGTTAAAAACTATCCATCTACTGTTAAAAATTAGCTTAGAGTGCCATCTGCTGTTAAAAACTAGCCGAGAGTGACATCAGCTGTTAAAAAAACTAGACTAGAGCGCCATCTGCTGTTTAAAAAAACTAGCCTAAAGCACGATCTGCTGTTAAAAACTAGCCTAGAGCACGATCTGCTGTTAAAAACTAGCCTAGAGCGCCATCTGCTGTTAAAAACTAGCCTAGAGCACGATCTGCTGTTAAAAAATAGCCTAGAGCGCCATCTGCTTTTAAAAATTAGCTTAGAGCACCATCTGCTGTTAAAAATTAGCCTAGAGCACCATCTGCTGTTAAAAAAAAACAGAGCGCCATCTACTATTAAAAAAACTAGCCTAGAGGACGATCTGCTGTTAAACAATAACCTAGAGTGCCATCTGCTGTTAAAAACTATCCATCTGCTGTTAAAAATTAGCCTAGAGCGCCATCTGCTGTTAAAAAACTATTCTAGAGCACCATCTGCTGTTAAAAATTAGCCTAGAGCTCCATCTGCTGTTAAAAACTATCAATCTGCTGTTAAAAATTAGCCTAGAGCGCCATCTTCTGTTAAAAAACTAGCCTAGAGCACCATCTGCTGTTAAAAATTAGCCTAGAGCTCCATCTGCTGTTAAAAACTATCCATCTGCTGTTAAAAATTAGCTTAGAGTGCCATCTGCTGTTAAAAACTAGCCTAGAGCGTCATCTGCCATTAAAAATTAGTTTAAAACTAAACTCAGAATTGATTCATAGGAGATAAGTGATGCATTTTGAAAATCTCAGAATCGATGCAGAATTAAATTCTTGAAAGATTGTTTTTTTTTTCACCACAGCTCTATATCCCAGATTATTGCACTTTAGTTATCAAAAGTATACTTGATGTGATCAATCCTTCATACCAGAGACATTCAGATCTTTTACGATTTGGTCAAAACTTGATTTGATTTTCTTCCATTGACTGAAATTGAAGTTAAACCTGTTTCCTCTTGATTCCCAGATACATGGCCAGCACTTCTTTTGACGGCCTGAGCGGCTGCATCAGTGTTCAAGAGGAATCCACCATCATCTCTGAAAGCCATCACTTCATATGGAATCTACAACATGACCCAATAGGGAAGCCCATGTGGACCCGTCTAGGCAGCTGGAAGCATGGCAAGGTGGTTATGGATTATGGTGTTTGGCCCAATAAGAGACGGTCCCAGCCAGGAGCAGACTGGCGCCATTCCTCACGTCTACACTTACGAGTCGTCACTCTAGTAGAACACCCGTTTGTCTTCACTCGAGATGTTGATGACGAAGGTTTGTGCCCGGCTGGCCAGTTGTGCCTTGACCCCCTAACAAATGATACAGCCTTACTGGAAAGTCTTTTTCAGGGTCTGCAGGGTGCCAATGACACTGTCCCGTTGGAGTTTAAGAAATGCTGCTACGGCTATTGTATTGATCTATTGGAGAAGCTGGCAGAGGACATGGGGTTTGATTTTGACCTCTACATTGTTGGAGATGGAAAGTATGGAGCGTACAAGAATGGTCGGTGGACAGGGCTTGTCGGGGATCTCATGAGCGGAGCAGCACATCTGGCTGTGACTTCTTTTAGCATCAACTCAGCACGCAGTCAGGTGATTGACTTCACCAGTCCTTTCTTTTCCACCAGTTTGGGAATCCTTGTCAGGACTAGGGATACTGCCGCACCTATTGGAGCCTTCATGTGGCCCCTGCACTGGAGTATGTGGCTGGGGATATTTGTGTCTTTACATGTCACGGCTGTGTTCCTGACTTTATATGAATGGAAAAGTCCATTCGGAATGACCCCGAGGGGGAGGAACAGGGATCGTGTCTTTTCTTTCTCCTCAGCGCTAAATGTTTGCTACGCAATCTTATTCGGCAGAACTGCCGCCATTAAGCCACCTAAATGTTGGACCGGCAGATTCCTCATGAACCTCTGGGCCATATTCTGCCTGTTCTGCCTGTCAACATACACAGCAAATCTCGCAGCTGTAATGGTTGGTGAGAAAACCTACGAGCAACTCTCAGGTATACATGATCCCAAGGTAAGAGTAACTTGCGGTTGTAATTTTTAAAGGGAGTCAAACTGCCCTTCAGGCTTACCAATTGTTAGAGATATAAAGTATATACATTATGGTTGATAATAATGGTCCTCTTGCCTTTCAAGCTTCATCATCCATCACAAGGTTTCCGCTTTGGAACCGTTCGGGAGAGCAGCGCTGAGGACTATGTGAAAAAAAGCTTCCCAGAGATGCACGAATACATGAGGCGATATAATGCCCCTACGACCCCTGATGGGATAGATCATCTTAAGTAAGTCGTAATCGTTATTGCAAAGTGGCATCGATCACTGAAGCAGCACTAATTTACTTGATGCCCTCCACCATGTCCTTTTTAGAAGGCTTCCGTCTACTTACTGTGAATCCCTGGGGTTTCACTGTACAAGAGCAGGAATGAATTGACTGGTCTGCTGATAGCTGGAGTGTGCTGAAACACATATTACAGCAAATCAACAGTTTTTAGATGCATGCCTTGCATGTATTGGTAGTAGGGTATGTGATTGTCATGAACTGCAAAACTTAAACTCTTGATCCTTTGGAAAATAAGAGATAATAGTGCAGTGGTCCCTCGTTTATCGCGGAAGTTATGTTCTAAAAATTACCCGCAATAGGCAAAATCCACGTCAGCTTTATTTTTTACAATTATTATAGATGTTTTAAGGCTGTAAAAACCTCTCACTACACACTATATACATTTTTCTCAGGCATTAACATTTTAACCCTTTTCTACGAGATATATCCACCTGCAGACCCGCAGAACCACACACGTTTCAGGCACACACGATCTGGCACACACAATCTAGGCAAACCATATATGGTCGCTAACTAACTCCTTAGGAGTGTAGCGGCTACGTGGAGTAACAGCTGAGAGGCTAAACCAGAGACATGATTTGTAAAATTTATTTGAAAATTTATTTGAATACTAATTTGACTATTGTTGTTGTTTTGGATTTTCAAATGTACTTTTTTTTGTTTTACAAGAGAGACTAGAAAAATTGTAAAGCTCTTCATCATTTTTATTCAAATGGTCAGGGAAAGTTGAATGTGCTGGCGAGTTTGTTATTTATAATTTGCCTCAATTTATAATATGGCTTGTTTTTAATTTAAAACGAATTCATATGTATTACTTTCTAATAATATATGATGTAATACATTTGTATTTTTTCATATTTTTTATTCTGAATCTTTAGTAAATATTTTTAGTACATCAAAAAGTGTGGTTATGATGACCATTCGACAAGCTCTCTTTAGGTATACTATAAACTTCCAGGAAGATATGTTTAAGAAAGTTGGAACTAAACTTTGCAGAACACTGGCCCTCTAGGACTAAGTTTGGACACCCCTGGTCTAAAGTAACTTATGGTGTTAAACGGGTGTCCAAACTCGGTCCAGTATCCTGCAAAATTTAGTTACAACCCCAATCAGACACACTAACTAGGTAATCAAGCTCATACTAGGCTGGAAGCATCCATGCAGGTGTGTTGAGGCAAGTTGGAGCTGAAATCTGCAGGACACCGGCCCTCCAGGATTGAGTTTACTGTAAAACAAAGACAAGTTTGTTGATGAGGTCATGAAGCTTAAACTACAGGATTTATTAAGCTAAGTGTGGAAAAGACATTAATATTAAGGACATCCACTGTATTTTGTCAATGTAAGACAAATTTGACTAAAGTATTTGTTGTAAGAATGACCAACACAATCTCACGGCAATTCGTAACTTTTTGATTTAGTGGCTAATTCGTATGACTTCATACGATCTAATTCGTACAATTTAGTACGATTTGCTCATCCCCAATGACAGTTGGGTTTAGGGGTGGAGTTAGGTGCCACGCCTCCTTTTTAATATCGTACAATTTCGTTTGACTGAATTAGCCACTAAACTGGCAAAACGTAAAATACTTACGTCTTCTTGTGAGATCAGGCTGGAATGACATCTTGTGGGATTCCACTGCCCAGATTTTCCAAACAACATCACTTGCATGTCCGACAGGCCAAACGTAACTAAATTTAGATTAGGTTTTCCTCCTTTCACATCCTCTGTTGCGAGTCAGAAACTCTTCTTTTGAGATTCCACAACCTTCGGGACATGATTTGATGCAGTCCTCAAATCTGACCACATCCTCCAAAATATTGCCACTGTGTATAATTCCATAAAGTAGGGCAGAGTGAATAGATTTCAGGAGAAGTAGATGAAATTCGCAACATTTTCCTAAAGAAGTTAACCAGCTTGCTCCTTTTAAATCAATCCAGCACGTGTTTTTGCAAGATAACATACTTGAAGTGCATAGGATAAACAAGGATGTGCACCAGCTGGTGGTACGGTTGTGTTATGGACTTATGAGTGTGTGTCTAGCTATTTTGATCTAGGGCTAATTTACTTAATCAGCATCAACACCAGTGTCAAAAGTTCATGCGATAAATGCAACACATAAATAAAACTAAAGTGTTTGATGTTATTTCAGGGATGATCCCCAAAAGCTTGATGCTTTTATAATGGACAAAGCTCTTTTAGA